TAACTAGCCAATAGAATAAACAAGTACAATGGAAGAAGATATGTAAAGAATATATTATCCAATACAAAACTACTGTCAAGTTTATAAACAACTATAAAAAAAAAAACAGGAGAATATAACAATACATAGAAAGATGACAACAATGGCTGATAAATAACAAGAGATCAATGATAAATAATATCCTAAAAAAACTCAACAGATTCATAGTGACAGATAAACTGATAGTTAAAAAAGAAGAACAAATAGAAGTAATTACAAAACTAGAGAATATAAAAAACAAAGTAATAAAACACTTCAAAACCTGAATTCACTGCAAAGTGACTATACTAGTAAAAACTTTAGTTAGGTGAACAAAATAGTATATATCAAGCAGCAAGATCCAAAAGTACTGGTTTGAGAATCAGATATGACAAGTAAATAGTAATCTGGGACAGAAGCTTCAAATTTGCATCATAACCAGATGACATCCTATATAACATATACAAAAATTTAGAATTAAAAGTGATTGCATAACTTATAGACCTATATAATAGTATACTGCTTCAAGGAGAGATACCAAGAGAATAAAGTACAAGACACAAATACACAATTCCCAAATCTAAAGACTAGCAAAACAAAATTGAAATAACTAGACCTATTACACCACTTATCACAGGATAATAATGGATTCCTAAAGTCTAATATTATGTCCTATAACTGAAAGTTTTATAACTGAAAGTGAATTATGTTTTCTTCAAACTTTAGATTATAGAACATAATTTTATAACTAAAAGTAAAATTTTTATAACTGAAAGTCAATTTATAATTAAAAATCAATTTATTATAACTAAAAGTCAATTTTATAATTGAAAATCAATTTTTTATAACTGAAAGTCAATTTTATAACTAAAAGACATTTTGATATATGAAATTAAGTATATAAATAATTTAATAACCAAAAGTATGAATATAATATATAAATTTTAATCAAAAGATCAATCTCAAAAAATTTCTAATTAATTAATTTGGTTTTAGTAATATATAATTAAATTAAAATATAATAGTGAACAAATTTTTTGCTGTGAAAAAATTTTTTACTAATTAAATTTAAATCAAATTTTTTTTATTTAAAATATTAATATTTATAATATATATATTTAAATTATCAAGAAATTATTATTATTTTTTTATATTGTCATTTAATATTTAGTTTTATTGTTTAAAATATAAAATATTAAAAAAAAAATAAAAATTTTAAAGTTCTTTAATGCAATAGACATTTATATCAATAATTATTAGAAAATTATACAAAGATATTCTAATAAACTTTGTTTAAAATCCCAAAATAAAATTTTATATTAATAAAAAAATATCAATTTACTTAATAAAAATTTATAAAATTTGTTATGTATACTTTTTTTAATATGTTTTTAAAACTATTAATTTTCTTGAAACTTTATTAAGTTAATAATATTTTCAATGGATAATCCAAAATGGAATAGATAAAAAGTGGAGTCATTAAATCCAAGGCCAGCACAGGTACACATAGGACCTAGTTTAGGAACAAATAAATAATAGACACATATGGAATAAAACCTTCAAAGGATCACAAAGAAAAAGTTTTTTGCTAAGATGATTAATAATGAGCTATCTATATTAACAAAGCTAGCCACAAGAAAATCAGACTTATATAAGCAAATAAAATGTCTCATATATGGATAGCAAGAAGAGATAACAGAACATTTGCTAGAATGTCCAGCATATAAAACTCAGTGGTAAAAAATCTGGCAGAGGATATGGAAGATATAATACAAGGTTTCAATAAACTCCTGACAAATAGGAAAAAGAAGTCTGAAAAAAAAGAGATAAGCCTGGCAATTGATAATAGAATGGAAAGAGGGAAAATAGATAAGAAAATAGTTCAACTAATGAAAATAATATCAAATGCTGGTTAGGATATACTTAGCTTCTATATAGAACTAATTGAAAAAGATCTAATGAATAAGATAGTAAACTCAAAGTACTATAGAAAGAGAATCGATAAAGATACAAGAAAGTAGATAATGAAGATGCAGAAGAAAAAATGTAATCACTTCAAAAAGAAAATTTGAAATGTTAAATGTGAAAAGATGATAGAGTGGAAATAGATATTGGGAATTAACAGAAATGATAAGATCAAAAGATTGATATATTTATAGAGGCAAAAAAATAGAATCAAGGTATCAGGAAATTAGCTATATCAAGTATTATTAAAGGAAGAAGAATTAGAAAATACGATGTTCAAACAAGTCCTGTGAGATAGTGTAAAGTATGGAATGAAATATTTTGGTTTTAATCTTTGTTAAAACTCAAAAAGGTGATCTATAATAGTGATCTATAGGCAATTATGTTAGAAGTTGAAAGAATATTTATCTGAACTCCTAATGGAGTGATAAATTATTCCTGAAGTTGTATTTAGAAAGGTAAAACAACTAAGACAAGTGAGTTAGTTAAAGAATTAGCATTAGTATCTCATATTATATATATAGCTTACAAATGTTTAATAAAGCAACCTGACAGAAGGCAAAAAAAAAAAATTAAAAAATTTTATTTTTTATATAGTTTAATTCTAAATAGTATAAAGGTTTAAATTATGCTTCAAGTTTAATTATTTGAATTTGACTTTTTTTTAAATATTAAAATTGTGTTAAATTTTCATATTTTATATAAAAATAGTTTTTTACTTAAACAAATGATTTTTTATTTTTAAAAAATAGTTTATTGTTTAAACAAATGATTTTATATTTAAAAAATAGTTTTTTATTTAAAAACATTTATTTTTTATATAATTTAATTTTAAATAGTATAAAGATTTGAGCTATACTTCAAGTTTAATTATTAAGTTTATTTTTTTAAAAAAAATATTAAAATTGTGTTGTTTATTTTAAATAATTTTTTTTTACAAAAAAAATATTTTGTTAATATTTTAAATGATTTTAAATTTTTTTAATTTTTATATTTTATATAAGAAATAGTTTAATATTTAAAAAAATTATTTTTTAATATATTTTAATTAATTTTAAGATAATTAAAAATTTAGATTATTTTGTAAAAAAAATTTTAATTGTATATTATAATAGTAAAAAGACTTCAATTTTTAAAATTTTTTATATTTATAAAAAAATTTTTTTAATTGTATTTTAATTAATATTATAATATTCATTTAAGTTTATTTTTAAAAATCGATATGTATATATTTTTTAATTTTACATTTTTATTTAAAAAAATAATTTTTATAAGAAAAAAACTTTTGATTATATTTTAATTATTATTAATATAATAAATATATTCAAAATATACATTGAATTTAGCTATAATAAATTTTTTATTTAAATATTTAATTTATTATATATATATTTTTTATATAATTTTTTTATATTTTTATATTTTATAATTTTTTTTTATGATTTTTTATTTTTAATTTTTATTTTAAAAACTATTTTATATCAAAATCAGCATGCGTTAATATACTGTAACGTGTCTTAAATAAAGGCAAAGTCGATTTGATAACATTTCATGAGATACTATGGGTAAAGTAAGTTACGTATTTCATATTCGATAGCATGTCTCGATAATATACATGTATATAACGAACTAGATATACAGTATACTCTAGTTATTTACCTCCAGAAATGACGATATAATCAAAACCAAATCATTAAACTCGCAATAAGGCCAACCCAGTATTCGATTATTTGCACGTAGTCCAACAAATAATATTTTCGAAATTTAGGTTTCTAAAGGAATTAGAATTTAATATACAGAGACATGAACTAGAATCATAACATAAATCGGATATTTCTTTTGAATCAATCAGAAGCATTAAATTGGTATACGAAAATTTATATACAGTAAGTATTAAAACATTATAAATAAAGAATTTGACTTTCTAAAGGGTATACAGTACAAGCCGTCTACCTATCAAAGTGGTCAAAATATACTCAAGTATGTTGGCATGTCAATTCTTCGCCATAATTTTTATAGATCATGGGTATCTAAATGTGACGACGAATTGCCTAAATTAAGTTATTTTCACTAAAAATTTTTCGAAAATATAAATCAATATGCTGTATAAATAGTAAATTATTTTTTTCTTTTGATTCAATACTTTATTAAATAATTTAATGGTCAAATTTAAAAAGAATTTACAAATCAATTTAATAAAATTAATTTGATCAATTTAAACAAAATTATTTACTTGATTATACTGTAATTATATGAAATATTAAATTTTAATCCATAAATGTGAATATAGAGCACCTGACAAAACTATCCAGCCGAACTTTTGTCTTTAAAGAGTAAAGGTGGCATATTCATTTATTCCTGTTATACATAATGCATTATGTGATCCTTACATGATTCGTGTTACTTTACAGAACGCAGTATGCCCCTTTTTTGTTTATGCCTACTACAGCCTACGTATCGCATTATTTTTGCCAGACCTATTTACACGCAAATTCAAGATTTGCCGATTATGGGTAACTAAATTTAGTAATTTGTGGCGACTGTTTCTTGATCACGTCTACGAGCTTGCAAGGAACATATAAAACAGTTAGGCAAATATTATTATTTTTTTGTTTTGTCAAAGGCGCGTTTTCGTAATTACTGTACTGTATGTACGTAATTAGTGAAAATGCTATTGGTTCTTTTATTATCACGTATCACGTATGTAAACAAATCACGTAATGTGTCACGTTATTCCCGCAGAATTTCTCTTTTGTTCCAAATTTGGAAGTTTCAATGGGCTGCGTCTCGAAAAGGGCGTAAAATAATATATTTTTAATAGTTTAATAGGTACAAATGACGCACGTACGTACGTAATATAAATCAAATGAAGGTCTTTCCCATATCAGACAGTCATTTGCTTCACGTATAAAAGAGTGAAGAATTATTCTTCTTTGCTCCGTGTCGTCCCTCTTCCTCCAAATCTACATATCCAAGTTTCAATTCTTACTCCTAACACACTTCTTTGTATCCAAGAAATGCCTGAGATTGTAATATTTTTGGGTAATCTGAAAAAAGTCCATACTTCTCGTGCAGAATCTCTAGGATTTGTTGTAAACACCACGATCACCGAGACTGCGAACTACGTCGTTTGCGGTAAAGATGCTGGGATAAAAGCAGACAAGGCCCGAGAGCTTGGTCTTACAATTCTTGAGGAAGAAGAATGGGAAGAAATGCTGATCGAACGCGAGAAAGGGGACTCGGATAAAAGTGTGGACGGGAAAAAAGTGATTAACAATGGCAACGAAAACACAGACGAAAATTTGTTCAAGAAACCTACAACTTATATGACAGCAGGGAGTCAGTATTGGGAAATCAAACTTGATGGTCGTAAAACATATATCAGGACCGGGAAAGTTGGTGAAAAGGGGCTTATAAGTAAGAAAGAGCACAAGAGTTGGTCTGATGCTAAACAATCAATGACCGACTTGGTGGAGAGGAAAAAGAGGCAAGGATTTCAAAGGCAGCGCAAACCAGCTCCTAATATTTCGGAGTCCAATGCTACAAGAAGAAAGCGACAAAAAATCGACGATGATAGTGGTGCGTCAAGTACAGCTTCGACTGTTGATGACGGTATTGACATGGTGAATTCGTCAACTGACGAAGATGTGGCGAACATGTCCATTGCTTTAGCCGGTGATGGGCATCACAAACCAATCTTGGGAGAAAGAGCCGATAAGAGTAGTGATGAAAGTTCCTCGGATAACTTGACAAATTACATTTTCAAAAGGTCACCTGGTTTGCCATCCTCAATTACAAGAGCAAAACCCGTTTCTATTATGAAAGGCCGTGTTCCTGAGCTTTTGCTTGCACATTCTTGGAAAGAGGATGAGGTCGATCCAACGGGATGGTGGATTTCCGAAAAGCTAGATGGAGTACGAGCATTTTGGTGTGGAAAGCTAGGGAAATTCTTTTCTAGGCAAGGAAATCATTACGTAGCACCTGACTGGTAAATAAAATGTTTGACTTAATTATATTTGAACATTATTCGAAGATGAAAAGTAATACGGTATTTTATTTATTTATTTATTTTAAGGTTCACGAAAGGTGAGTTGTCACATCCGATAGATATCACATGAGGTAATAGGATTTCACAAAGTAATTTACCTTCATGTTTATAGGTTTACCCCGAGACGTCGATTTGGACGGAGAACTTTTCGGTGGTCGTGGAAAATTCCAGTCAACTGTAAGCATAGTGAAAGCTGGTACAGACGAATGGAAGTCGATTATATATGATATCTTTGATGCACCTTCATACAAGAATGCACCATTTGAGGATCGTATGTTATTTATTGAGGATATGTTCGAAAAACAAAAGTAAGATAATGGATTAAGTAAGGGTGGTTTGTTTTAAAAAGTTTTATAATAATCTCTTATTAAATAAAGACCGACCTATGGAAGAATCGTTCAACAAAAACTCTGTAGATCATCTCAGGACGTATGGGATGAGTTGAAGCGAGTTGAATCAATCGGGGGTGAAGGGTTAATGATACGAAAGCCGAGAAGTGAATACGTGTGTAGTCGTTCAAATGTATTACTAAAGGTACGTCACGTTCCGATTGTTTTGGTTTATAGTAATCAATTGTTTATTTTCTCACATTCTTGATTCTTTGCCCATCTATTAAAGGTGAAGTCATTCTTTGATGGAGAAGCACTCGTCGAAGGTTACGAGCCGGGAAAAGGAAAATATCATAACATGGTAGGCGCACTAAAGTGTGTTATGGCTTGTGGCAACAAGTTCAAAGTTGGATCTGGAATGACCGACAAAGATCGGAGAAAACCACCTAAGATTGGGAGTATTATTGTGTATGTAGTTGTTACGATAGTGTATTTGAAAATAGAGTCGGCAACTTTTTAACTTTATTGCGTAATTTTAGTTATAAGTGTCAAGATCTTTCCGATAGCGGTAATCCACGATTTCCGACGTTTGTAGGAATCGCTGCGGACAAAGACAAGCCCAAGGACCCTGATTTTGGTCACAAGTTGAAACTTAAATGAGTTACTATAATGTTCTATAAAACTGATAGAACTAAAATTTGAACCTAAGATTTTATTCGCAAGTATAAATGAGTGCTGCAAGGCATAAAACCAAAATTAATGTTCTTTGCAGCACTCGGGTTTCTTTAAAATATATTAATCAAATTTAAATTTCGGTTCAGTAGACTTTTTACTAACAAAATTTATGAGATAAAGTTTGTAATTATGAACTTGAAAAAATATAGTTTTTCATAAGTTATTTTTTAAATTTATACACAATAAAATTTAGATAAAGTATATTGCAAAGCGAAAAATCTATTGTATAGCTATCTGACCTTTATCCATCCTTTAAATATCTAGAAATCTATATTGTTTTCTTGCTTAGTTTGAGTCTTCGAAATCTATTATTACTAGCTGTATAAGGATGCAAAGCATCCGCAAATGCAAAGTGAAGTAAAACATTTAGTTAGCATATTGCTTTCTAATGTTTAGAGTTCCACCTCCCTATGATTGAATCACACGAGAAAAAAAGGAAAAATGTAGGTAGCCTGCCTTCTTATAATCAAATTATTCAAAGTCAGAAGAACTATTGGCATATATCTTGAACATTGATTTGTGATATCATCTATTATTTGGCTTTGAGCGAGTAGTCACGAGGACGAATTTTATAATAATGTTTTAATGTATAATAGCTACCAGCATGTAATTTACATCGACCACAATCAGCACCAGTAGGCTTACCACATACAAGACAGGGTTTACGAGATTTTGACAAATGATGCTCCCAACATCCTTCAGCTCTATGACAAGATCTGTTACATGAAGAACCATGATTGTGAAGATATCGGCAAGTATAAAGTAGCATTAGTATAAAATATCTTGTATAATTATTCATTAAATATAACAAATTTCAATTTAGAAAAAAGCATGGTTATATATAACAAACAAAAAAACGATACATTTATTATGACTGAACAAAATACTAATATTACAGCAAAAGATATCGAAAAGGCATTGCTTGGAATCTTAAATTCAGCAATTCGTCGAAAATTTAAAACTGATAGCAAATT